GAAGAAACAGTTGTTTGGAATGTTATACCAGGAGAAGAATATGATAGAAACTCTGATTCAAAACTTGAATTAAACTGTCAAAAACAACCTCGCAATAATCTTCATTGTACTTGTGATGTTATTTCTTGTCATGATAATGCTATTGTCGATGATACAAATCGACTACAATAAGATGATGATGCTCGATGTTCAGTATATGAAATAATACAGATCAACATGAATGCGAACTTCATGGATATTGTTTTCAAGCACCATCATCATGCTCTTATCCATCACAAGCTTTATTTAAATTTGCGGGTCTTGCTGAATCAATTTTACTTCCTTCTCGTTTTATTTTTGAAGTACTTTTTAGTCGTTATTGGTCTTATGCTAAATACGAACGAAAATAAATCGTGACGCTACAACATGATGTTTCATTAGACATTGTTGTCAGCGATACAGATTGGCAGCAAACATTTTATAATTTAGCTCAAAATGAAACACCTGTGTAAGCAAATCAATTAATTGAATGAACTGTATACATATTTGATAAACATCTCTTTCCAAATCTAGCAAAGTTATCTCCAAGATTGTAAACAATTCGGTCTTACAAACACTCTCATTCTTCATTTATCATAAGATATCAAAACAACATGTTTTAGTTTTTTTTTCATATTGTTTCTTTTTAACATATTTTTCACAGGTATGTTTATGAAGATGATGAATCAATATTTTCAATGATTATCTATATTCGAATATCTATGTCGATATTACTACCATTTCAAATTCAAGTTCAACCATTAGAAAGTATAATTCATCCACTTCTTGCTTGATGTAAATCAGCAAAAGTACATCTTGATTACAAATGGAGTGTAAGAACAGTTTATACGGATGATTATCCATTTTTATTAGATGCTGCTGCTACCGATCTTCGTATAACTCATTCAGCATTACAAATCTTCAAAGTATATCGTCTTTATGAAACAATGGTTCGTTGCGACATAAACAAATAAATAAATTTCATAGTTTTTTCCACAATAGGTTTATTCAGTTGGTACTTATTAGAGACTGTAGAAATGTTAGTATTCGATTTTGTGTTCTAAATAGTATAGTTATCATTATGTAATTGAAAGCATTATTTAGAATGTATTTTTTGTTATGATTATACGTAAGAATGCTTTGAGAAATAGCTGTATGCAGCTATGACTATTAGATTACATGAACAAAAGCAGATCCATCAGACGTTTCACTCTATGGCTGAAGTAGAGCGATAAAAAAGAGAATTAATCATAATAAACAAAAAGGAAAAAAAATATAAGCAGTAGCATAGAAGAAAACAGACAAGATAAGAATAGACATCAGTTGTTTTCGATACTAATGTAAATTACGACTACATCTGTATTTTTCTTCACTCGGTTATTATTATTGAATGCATGTCAATGTCTACTTTCTAGTATTTTCGTTTATAATCGCTCTTTTTCTCTTAATATATTATTAATGAAAAATTTTGAGTGCTGTCTAGTGAATTTTTCAGTAAGTTGTTTCATCTTTCAGTCTTCTATATTTATATCCGTTGTATAATCCGTAAATTTTGAATCATTTTAAAAAAGTTGGTATTGTTAAAACTGAATTCTCAATGAAAAATTTAGTTAACTGTGTGCGAAGCTCTTCGTCGATCTTGGAGAGTTTTTTTTTATACTGATAAACTACTTTTCTTCTATCTCACATCATCAAATATATCTTTTTTTTTTATTAAAAGAAGACAGGTTCGTGAGAGTACTTTTTAATCGAATATCTGTATACTTTATAATGAGTAAATATTGATAACTCTTCTTTTTTTATTATAGAAAGCATAATAGAAGAAAATATACTGTTTTGTAAATATTGTTTTATCTAATGCTCTTGGGCTTTGATAAGAACAGCCGCACATTACTTGTGAAGAATCATTTCGAGGTAATACTATCCTTTCAAAACAATGGCGGTATGGTTCGTCTTCTATGTGGCTTTATTGGCGACGACAGCCACTGGTAATATTTTATTGTCTGATCCTTCAACAATAGTCTATGAAGGTCAAGCTCGATTTACCATCTTATCTACGCAACTAATTCGTATGGAATGGTCATCAACAAAAGAATTTGTCGATGGAAAAACATGGCTTGTGCAATCACGTCAAATTCAACCAACTCCACCAATTTTTAATGTCACACGAAATGATACTCATTTACGAATTGATACTACTTTTCTTACATTAGAATATTTACGAAATACTACAACAACATTTAGTCAACATAATATACGTGTTACTATTCATGTTAACATTTCTACAGGAGAAACAGTTGTTTGGAATGCTATACCAGGAGAAGAATATAATGGAAATCTTTTAGGTACATTACGTACATTAGATGGAAATCGTGATTCAAAACTTGAATTAGATTGTCAAAAACAACCTCGCAATGATCTTCATTGTACTTATGGTGTTATTTCTCGTCGTGGTTATGCTATTGTTGATGATACAAATCGACCACAATTAGATGATAGTACTCAATGGCCATGGATCATTAATAAACAATATCCAGCACCTGATCCTACACTTTGTCAAGCAGTACCAGTTGAAGAACGTCGAAATTGTGGTTCATCAAATAATACAGATCAACATGAATGTGAAATTCGTGGTTGTTGTTTTGAAGCACCATCATCATGTTTTTATTCATCACAAGCTCAACAAGATTTATATTTATTTGGACATGGTCGAGCTTACTATCAAGCACTATTTGAATTTACACGTCTTGCTGGATCAATTCCACTTCCACCTCGTTATATTTTTGGAGTATTTTTTAGTCGTTATTGGGCTTATGCTGAATATGAAGAAAGACAAATTATTACTGAATATATTCAACATGATGTTCCATTAGATGTTCTTGTTACAGATATGGATTGGCATATCACATTTTATAAATTACTTTCAAATGGTACAAGAGATCAAGCTGGACAAGGTATTGGTTGGACAGGATTTACATTTGATGAACATCTTTTTCCTAATCATCAAAAATTTCTTCAATGGTGCAAACAATTAGGTTTGAAAAATACTCTCAATCTTCATCCAGCATCAGGTAAATTAAAATTATATTCTGTTATCAATTTTATAATTAATTTATTCATATAGGTATTCAACCATGGGAAGAAAAATATAAAGATATGGCTCAAGCTATGGGTATTGATCCTACAACAGGTCATTATGTGCCATTCAATGTCACCGATAAAAATTACACATCATCCTGGCTTAATATTGTTCTTCATGCACTTCAACAATCTGGTATCGATTTATGGTGGTTAGATTGGCAGCAAGGTGAACAAGGTTGGATGAATGATATTCCTTATGCGAATCCAACATTTTGGTTAAATCATGTCTTTTTTACTGATCCTTATTTTGGAAACAATCGTCCAGCTCTTCTACATCGTTGGGGTGGTCTTGGTAATCATCGTTATCAAGTTGGCTTTTCAGGTGATGTTGTACCATCATGGGATACACTTTCATTTCAACCACGATTTACTGCTACAGCAGCTAATGTTGGTTATGGATTTTGGAGTCATGATCTTGGTGGACATACTGAAGAACCAGATCCTGAATTATATACTCGATGGATTCAATGGGGTGCATTTTCACCTATGTTTCGAACACATTGTACGAAAAATTCAAATAATGATCGACGAATTTGGACATTTCCTTGGATCTATCAAAATAATTTAGTTCGATTTACTCAACTTCGTCAAGCACTTATACCATATATTTATACAGCTGCAAGACATACATATGATTCTGGTCTTTCAGTTGTTTTACCTCTTTATTATCTATATCCCGAAAATGATGAAGCTTATTCATATACAAATCAATATTTCTTTGGTTCAAATATTTTTGTTTCTCCGATTTCTCAACCAGTTAATACAAGTACAGGTCTTGTCGAAAATTGGCCTATTTGGTTTCCACCTGATTCTCAATGGGTAAATTTTTTTACTGGTGATCTTTCTTCTTCTACAACAAAATCTTTTACTCTTGATGAAATGCCAGTTTATGCAAAAGCTGGTTCAATAATTCCACTTTTACCTGAACCAAAATCAAGTCGAGAACGAATTGGTCGTTCTCAACAAATTCCACAAAGTCTTCTTTTATATACTCTTATTGGTGGATTATCTAAAGGTTATGGATATGTTTATGAAGATGATGGAACATCAACAGCATATCAAGATTCTTCTCATGCAACAAGTGCTGTCACTAATTTTTATTATACTGTTTTAGATAATACATTGCAATTTAGTAAGTTTATTTCTCATAAAAAAAAATAATATTTACATTAATTCTTTTTTTTGTTTTGTTTTCGTACAGCTGTGTCTGCAGCAACAAGTTTATTTTCAACTTTTCCATTATTACGTACATATGAAATTCGACTTCGAGGTACTTTTCCTGCAACTTATGTTATATTCAATGGTATTATACTTCCTTATGAACCATTCAATGAATTAATTCGTGGTCAAGATGGAACAACAAATGGTTATACTTATGATGGATCAACACTTTCAATTATTATTTATATTCGAACACCTATATCAACATTATTACCATTTCAAATTCAAGTTCAATTATCAGAAAGTATAACTCATCCACTTCTTGTTCAAGTTCCAACATCATTTGTTGGTCTTCTTGCTCGATGTAAATCAGCAAAAGCACGTCTTGATTATCAATGGGGTGTAAGAACAGTTTATATGGATGATTATCCATTTTTATTAGATGCTGCTGCTACTGGTCTTCGTATAACTCATACACCAGCATCAGCTAAAGATGAATTAAATACATTTTTCTATCAACGTATGCCAGGTGCATGTGATGAAATAGCAAATAAGATTACAAATCTTGATGCAAATCTTCAAAATATATTATTAGCACAATTACAATGCAAATTATTTATTGATAAATAATTAATATAAATATTCAAAACGAATAAATTTTTTTAAAGTTTGATTAATTTCTAATAGATCGATTTTATTACTTGTATCAATTGATTTTCTTATTAAACAACGAATAATTTGTTTAAGTTTTAAAGGATTTTGAAAATGATAATGAATTAATGATTGATGATAGGAAATAGAAAGTAAATTTTGTTTACAATAAATATGTTCACTAAGTAGAAGAAGATGAATAAGTGGTAATGAATAATTCATTTTTTCAATAAGTTGTAATAAATAAATAAGTGAATGTCGACGTTGAGCAAGTAAAATAATTAATGATTTATCACAATTTATATCTTGAATATCTTGTGATGTTAATTGAACTGATGAATGTGAATCTAATAAACATTTAACTATTTCAATACTATTTTTAGTTGAATGCATAGCCATAAATAATGCTGAATGACCAGTATTTGTTAAAACATTACCAATATATGAATCATATTGTAAAAGAATTTTAACTATATTTAAATGTCCAATTGAACAAGCAAAATGAAGTGGATGCCAACCTGTATGTGTTGATACTGGAGATAATATTGAAAGTAACCATTGAACAATATCAACATGACCAGATCGACATGCATAAATAAGACATGAACGACCACGATCATCTTGTCGATAATAATCAACATCACTATGTTTAACTAACCATTGACATATTAATAAATGACCTTCACCACAAGCATACATTAATGGACAACGACCTTCTATATCAATTAATTTTGATATTGAAACTTGTGAAAAATTAATAAGATCAATCATTATATCTATATGACCACAACTAGCTGCATAATGAATTGGAGTACGACCTGAATAATTAGATTTTAAAGAATTAATTATCCAAATAAGTTTTTATTGAAATTAAACTAACCTAATGAATCACGTTGTTTAGGATCAGCTCCATATTGACATAAAAGACGTACAAGTGATCGACCATCACGATGTAAAACAGCTTCATGTAATGCTGATCGATTAATTCCTTTTTTTAAATTAATTGAATTAATATCAATATTTTCAAATAACCATTTGACTGTATCAATATCATTTTGACAACATGCTCGAATTAATTTTTCGCTTTCTAAGAACATACATACTCAGTTTTTTTTTTCTTTCTCAAATCATCATACAACAAAACAAACCTTCTTGATAATCACCAGCTAAAATCCGTCTTACACGTCGAATGCCTTCAACAATGGATGAATATGTTTCAATTCTATGATATTGAATCGATGTTGGTGAAGACAAAAGTTCAAGTTGTTGTCGTATATGCCATTGTCTATCCATCTTTCTTTCTACTCAATGATGAAATGCAAACTGATTGACCGATATATAAAATCACAATGACCTCTTGATGACCTTGTTCTTTCTCTCTCTTGAGAAGAAGAAAAAAAAAATTTCTTTTTTTTTTGGAATAACCTATATATATAGTCTTTATTTTTGTTCTTTTTTTTTTTTTCGTTTATTATCAATATAATCAAGAAGAAAGCAGAGTACGTGAGATTAAATGTGCAATAAATGTTTGTTGTTGAAGTAAATGATGTTTTTCATTATTATTTGCTAATTCAATTGTATATTCAAATGCTTGTTTTAATTCTGAACAATCAATTAATGAATCAAGTTCATTTAAAGATATTTGACAATTTTTTAAATAAATTTCTTCATTTTTATCATTTATAATATTTTGTACAAATATTTTTAAATGTTCAACAAAATGACGACATGTATTTAATATAATTTCATTATTATCAATCCAATGAACATGTTTATTATTATGATGTGTTGTATTTAAATCTTCTCCATTACCAAAATCATATGGATATGTAATGATTTCTGGAACAGCTGAAAGGAAAATAAAAAAAAAACAAAAGATTTTTGAAATTAAATATTAAGAAGAAAAGATTTTAAAAAAAAACCTTTTTCTGTTTTTGTTCGTTTAAGAATTCGATTCCATGTTCGTTTCCATGTACTATCTGTACGTGATGATATAGGTGAAGGAGAAATTATATTATTATTGTTGTTATTATTATTTTTATTATAATGAACGGTTAATTGTTTTGTTGATGGTGACCATATAACAATACCATCAGTATTTTCATCTTCATTATTATATTGATTTGATGTTTCTGACCAAATAAGACCATCGGCAAATGGTGATGGTGGTCGAATAGGAAAACTAACAGTTCCATAATAACCATACGATGTTGTTAAATCTAATACAAAAAAAAGAAAATGTTCTTTATTTAAATATTTGTTACTAAAGGTTATGTTCATCAATTTTTGAATTATATTTATTTAAGAATCTTATCTTTTTCAATTATACTATTCAATCAAAGATTTTTTTTCATTGTTAAAATATTTCACAAATGACCATCAAATTGAAATTTAAAATAGATAATTCGTATGAACAAAAATTAGAATAGTAAATCTATGAATATATTAAAAAAGAAGTTATATCCTTAATTTATTGCTGTGTAAAGATTGTATGGGATAATATGAGCGATGTTACAGACACACTATTATTCTAGAACAAAATTCGAAAATTAATTTTTGTTTTTTTTAAATAAAGGAATTTTTAGGATATTTACAACTCATGTAAATCTGCATAATGTCTCGATTCAAAAAACGATGTTATAACTTTGAGAATTTTTCTCGTTAGAGTTTGAATAAAATTTGTTTATAAATAGGAGACATTCGAAATTGTAGAGAGAAAAGAATAATATACATACCAATTATATCAGGTTCACCATCATCTTCATCACTAATAGATGTCATTTGTTCTTTAAATATGATTATAAAAATGAAAGAAAAAAGAAAATGTATGCATGAATATATTGACATAGATATTCAATTATTGATGAATAAATATCTACCTTTATGTTTAACATTAATAACAGTTCGATAGAGAACAGGTGGAGGTGGTGGAGTTATTGTTGTTGTTGTTGTTGTTGATGTTTGATTATCAGCTATTGAACGCCATGTAACAAGTGTTGTACGATTTGGTACATTTGATACTGTTTCTCGTTCATCAATATCAATAGTTTTTGTAGGATTTCGTGTAAAAAATTGTCGTGTTAATTCAAATAATGATGGACTAGATGGTGGTGATATAGATTTTTCTTGTGTTAATGTATATGTACGATGATTTTTTTTATTACTTAATATACGTTGTAAAAATGGTGAACGATTTGATGATTCACTTTGATATTCATTTGATGAACTTGTTAATTTTGATTTATTTGTACTAGATGATGGTGATTTACTTTTATGTGATATACGTTCAATAGATAATGGAAAATTTGATGATTCTAATTGTGAATAACCTTCAATAAATGCCATAAAATCATTAAGTAAATTTGTATGAATTAAAAAAGAAATTTCTTGTTGAAGAATAGATGAATCATCAGCTGTTGTTTTTCGAGGTGTTGTTAATAAACGAATAGCTACACCATTTCGATATTGTTTAACAATAACACGAGATAAATGAGACCATAATGAGACAAGTGTTATAACCTACAATATTATATATTGTATTCAAGCATCAAGTTAATTTAATAAAAATATAAAGTTAATCTTTTAATATTGATTAGACGAATAGACAGGACATGAATATGAGAGATATTGAATTTCTAATTTCTGACTATAATAAATTATGCATATTTAAAATTTTATAGTCAACAAAAATGCATCTGTATGAGAAACTACTTTTGTAAATTAGAGTTTGAAAACAATGAGATTAACATTGTACAAAAAAAAGAACAAATATTTTCTCTAATAATTTTTGTTCAATACAAAAGATCTTTATCTATAAAGATGGATTAGTCTTTTCATTAGAGGATTTATTATGAGAGATTAAGATACTCTTTATGTCTACTGTATCATATTTACAAACATACATATTGACTATCTATATATATAAGAGTTCAGAGATCAATAGACAAATTACTAAAAATTTTTTTTTTTTTGTTCTTTAACTTATTTTTAAAACATACAGGTGAATTAATTCGTCTTGCTTGATCAAGAATAGCTATTGTATGTCGAGCTCCAACAAGTAAAATTGAATCTCGATGTTTATCCTAATAAGAAAAAAGAAAATAATAATTGGATAAAACAGAATATTTTTTACTGGAAATTTAACAGGAAATAATTTTCCACCAAATGATCGAGTATTTTCCGAAAATATACATATAAATTGTTTAGCAACATTCAATTGAGTCATATCATTCGTATTATGAAGATGTGTTCGTATACGATTTATTAATTGTTTTATAGAAAATTGATCAAGTAATGAACGTGGTAATAATTGTTTTAATAACCATGATCGTCTATCTTTTAGTCTTATTTGAAAATAAATTTATTCAATAAAAATAAATAAAAAACATACTTGACAAGAGTATTTACTCGAACACCAGTACATAATGATTCATCAAGAATAAGTAATGCTGTTAATTGTACAGCAGTATCTACACTTATTTCACTACCAGCACGTTCTCGAACATAATCATTGATACTCTTTATAAGAAAAAAAAAACATATATATAAAACAATACAAATCAAAAAAAAATTTACTATTTTATTTACTTGTCTATATAAATAAGTAAATGTAATTGGTTCTGTATCAGCTAATATTTCAGCTTGATAAGGAACAATAACAACACGTAATGTACAAATTGTTGTTTCAGTTGTACATGGCCATTGTGATACCTTTATAAATAAAATTTATTTTATTTGAAAAAGAAAAAATAATTATCAATATAATATTTTACTTCTTTTAATTTTTGTTGAGGTCGAATATATCGAATTGATCGCCAAGAAGTATCACGTGCTTCACTTAATGTTAAACGATATCGACGAATATCTGTACCAAGACTATGACGAAAAGCTACTTCTTCAACTAACTCCTAGATATTAAAAAAAAAATGTTTGTTTAATTTTTTATCAAGTCATTATCGTACTTCCGCTGTTGTTAAATCTCCAATTGAATATTCTGTAAGAGATCCATCTTCAAGAAAGATACGCATTTTAGTAGTATCATTATTAAATATGGGTTCAATTTTATGTACAAGTTTCTTTCCACCAACACATTCATTGATTTTTCTAAATTTAAATAATTTATAAATATTCAATTGACATGTTATAGGTAATCGAAGACTTACAAATTAATTGATGGGATTGGAGGCGGTGGAGGTGGTGGTGGTGGTGGTGGTTCTGGTAAAGATGTTTCACAATCATCAGAAAATGATGATAGAGAAGAGTTTGTTGCTGATGATGAACTCATCATCATGTCTGACTGAAATCGATCGGATCATCGATGAATTGTGTATTCATCTTTAATCCCTTATTCTTCTATCTATAAGCATTACATCACTAACAGATCATTGTCTCTATTTATTCAATCAAATTGATTGAATAGAAACGATGAGAACGTAAGGAAGAAGAAGAAGAAGAATAGAATAACAACGAGGAGATGCGCCTAATTGGAGACGACAATGTATATTTATAAATCCTCTAACAAATGACGAAGATGTTCAAATGTAAAAAAAAAAAACAAAAGTGTGTATATATATATTGTCTTATTTGCATTGTTAAATCGAGGATTTAATTGAAATAAATGTAAAAGAGAATTTTACATCAATGAATTATATTTATGATAACATCATAATGAAAATATTAAATAGATATAATAAATTTGATTGATTATCAGAGATAATCGATATAGCCAGCCATTGGTCACTAATACATAGAGACGGTTCGAACTTAAAAGTGAAGAAAGTTGAATTTACCATTGAAAAAAAAACAACAATTGATAGTATTTGAAATAAAAGTTAGCATTGAACATTCTAGATACACAAAAATTTTCTCAGAATCAATGATTCAAAAATTGATGCAAAAGATGTTCATTGAATGTGCTATCAAACTAAGATTGATCAAAAAGAAAAAAAAATTTCATCATCGATTATGAAATATTCTATCAATATATGACATTTCGTACAAACAACAATACCCATCCATTTAGAAATTGGAAGTTCAAGATGCTCAACAGGACAATCTTTTTTTAGAACGCAAAATCCGAAGGATAGTACTGAAGCCATGTAGAACATACAAGTCAGTTAATGGATCGTGATTCGATGAAGTTTTGGTCTCAGAGTGAAATTTGTTGTGATTTTTCATTCTTATCAATAGTAACCAGAAGTGTACATGACCTACTAGTGACCAGTGCTTTGATGAAAAGATTATTTTGCTGAGCTGGATTGACATTTACTCAACGACAGACACATTTATCATCGAATTAAATTGAGAACAGTATTTTTTTCATTCTTATGAGAAATTCAAGAAAAGGAAAACTTATCCTTTTGTCGTTGTTTGTCTATTTATATGGATAACATTTTGAGTCTTGTATCCTAATGTTTATTTGATTATTGTTTTTGCTCACCCGATGGACGTCAAGCATCTTTTCTATTTTTCATTTCATGCCTTTTAGAAAACATGTGATATAGTTTATCACCATGATTTTTTTCATTAATAGAGAGTCTATGATGTTTACCATATAGTGAAAATCGTTTTATTATCGTAATATAGCCGAATAAATTTACACTCATTACTTCTTACGTATTATTGATTCTAGCATAATCTAGTCAATAAAACAACTGTTACTAATTAAAGAAAATAAATTGAACATAATATTATTTGATATTAATTTTGATGATGATTTGAGAACTTGATCCTAAACTATAATGATTAGTGTGTTATATACATAACTTTCCATGGCACTCCTTTAGATCCAAGGGAAGGTCGAGAGGGGGTGGGTGCGCCCGAAGAGGGGGGGAGGGAATCTCCTTCGTTTTTAAAAAAACTGCAGAAAATTTTCTAATTGCTCAGAAATTTTGGAGAATTTAATCTGATTTTTGCAATGCCATGCACGACTGCGGAAAAGTCAAGTGAAAGTCCACCCAGGTTGTGAAAACCGAAGCTTCTCTAATCTAAAATATATAAAGAAGAAAGTTTGCTTGTCTGTTTGTTCTTCATGCATTTGGACATGGTACAAGTAAATGCAACGAAACTTTTCGGAGACCATCCTCTCATCCAGGAGGAGGTCAACGACTACTTTTTGTCGAAAAAGCATCGGTCCTCTGCCTGCAACAGGCCCGCCTATGTATCTGACCAATGAGATTGCAGCATTCGGTAGTATCGGAGAACTACTGAGCAGCGCATTGTGAGCAAGCACAAAACATGTACTTAGGGTTTTCGAGGATGTTGAGCTTGAATCTGGGGTCCATTCGCCTCGAAATCCTATTGGTTGACCAGAAACCAATAGGAATCGAGTTTTTGAGAAAACGAATATCACTGGATGATCGGAGGTAGGACATTAGGAATCTGAAGTCTATGAAGCTCGATCCTATTCTTTTATTCAAGTTTTCAACGAAAATATTTCAAAACGATGACAACTTTTACAAAGAAGCTTTTTTAACTCCAAACTAATGTAGAAATGATTCAAAGGTTTCATCAGAAGGATTTATCAGAGTGATTTTCAAAGCGACTTTTCGAAGTTATTTAGAAGGTGTTAGGCGGTGCCGATAATAGAGATCACTTTGTTTGAAACACAGTCGCTATATTCTAATATATAAAGAAGAAAGTTTGTTTGTTTCTTTGTATGTTTGTTCTTTATGCATTCAGTCCCTGTAGGAGCTAGAGCAGTCAAAGTTTGCATGGCACACCCTTGGGTCCAGGGGAAGATCAAGACGGGGTCGGCGGGGCCGAGAGGGGATGGGTGGGGAAAGCTTCCGCAGTTTTCCAAAAAATGGTAGAAAAATTTTCGGATTTTTTTAAAATATATCGAAAATATTCTCCAATTTCTGACGTACTTACATCTTGCTTTTATATCTTCGCATTGCCATTGGTCAAGGGCTACTTTTTAATCAAACACTTTTATCTCCGACGTACTTAGTGATCCCGTTATTGGAGCACTATAGTAAGTGTCCCATCCAAAAAGACTGTGTGTGCGACTGTCTTCTCGATAACTCGAGAACGAAAGGAGATAAAGACTTGCGGTTTTTGCCATTCGACACAAGAGATTCTAGGGTATGAAAGTAAGCTCAAATTTAATTGGTCGATTTCCTGACCAATCAGATGTTAGGATACTTTAATGATCAGTAATACTGTTTTGATCAAATTTTCAACAAAAATGTTTCAAAACGATGACAACGTTTTACAAAGAAGCCTTTTGTTAACTTCAAACTAATGTAGATTAAAAAATATTAAAATGCCAAAACTAGAGATGGGCAAAGTGATCCCGTTCTCAGTCCCAAATTTTTCACCGGGACTGGGATCGGGACTAAATTTGTTTTCGACCGCAATCAAACTAAAACAATTGGTTCTATTCATGTCTAATTGAGCATCTAAGGAGGAGAATATTAGTGATTAAATCGGTTACAGCATAGCAGCAGGATGTTTCAAACTTATAGACAGTGGTAGAGGATAATTTTAAGCTCTATACTGACAAAACTTCTGCTAGCTTCGGTACCGGTATTGAATTCTTTTTTAACCGGGACCAAATGTGTTTTTGATCGGGATCGGGACCGAAAAACACTGGTCCCGCCCATGTCTAGCCAAAAAAAAGTTGAAAAGGGAAAGAGATCTGAGCGCATTTTGCAGCATCCAAGATCGATAGCTTATAGAAAACCATAAGACCACCGTTTTCCAATATGTCAGGCGTGCAATATTGCATTTTCCCGGGCAACGCCGGGTACTTCAGCTAGTGTTTTACATATTTTTGTTTGCACACCAAGATGTACTTGTTTCTTTTTCTGTAGAAATGAACTTCTAATGAGAAAATATGAAGCATGTACTTAAAATATTACTTCTAACATTTTATTTGTAACTTTTTCTTGTTTGATTGTCAAATGTTGCTTAAAGAATTTGTTTTTTCTCTTTCAACATCATCTTTATAATCAAATCTTCTCTTTTAGAGAAAAATATTTTACTCATCTTTCTGATTAATAACGAATGATTTTTCAATTTTTACTAAAATATAACATCTTGTAATTTATATACAGTCTTTTCATAGTCAATAAAAATAACTACAGTAATTTTTTCTTTGTCAATTTTATTTTCATTAAAAATTTACAGTTCAAGTCTTGTGCTAAATTTCTTTTAACATAAATGGAAACTAATGTGAATATTGTTTCTATTATTCAAAATGAGAAAGCTATGTTCGAATTGAACCATATAACACTGACAAAAAAGAAAATAAAAAGAAAAAAAGACGATTATTATATTTAATTTTTATTTCTATATTGGAAAGATTGAAATAAAAGAATGTCATTTTTTAGAATTAACTAATTCGATTGATTATCGTCAGCTATTTCATTTATTCTGAAATTTTTGATAATGAAAATTACATTCTCATCATCATATATAGTATTTTGATAAGTGACAAATTTTTCTTTTACTTGTTTAGAAATATTTTTTTTTTCATTTTCTTATAATATCTTCGTGACAATAATTTACTCTTTTTTTTATTTTATTGCACTTAGAAAGTTGTCGTTCTTTGACAAAAAGAAAAAGGGAACGACTATATTTGATATGTTCACTGAATAATACATAATATGTCTATCTAGACTCATTTTAAATAGGAAAAAGACTTTTGAAATAATGACACAAAACTTTTATTTACTTTCTTTTGTTACTCATTTAACTCGGTTTGTAAAAATACAATTTTTATGCTCATATTTCAATCATCAAGATTCTATATGAATGTATTTTCTCTTCTCATTGAAATTTATTTGTCTTCAAGAAACAAAAAAACAATATTAGTGTTTTATTTGATCATTATATCAAAATTAAGCAAGATCATGTAGATTGTCATGTCAATAAGTTAAATTATGTTTATTTTTTTTTCCAATAAACATCCTTTAGAGAAGTTAATATAGATATATATTAGTTATGAAAATATTTTTGCTATAATATAGATAATTTTTATTTCTAACTTAGCTTTTTGCTTATTTTTGTGAAATTTATTCAATCAATGTTCTGTATTTTTTTTTTGTTTTGTAAAAAATTTCGCAAGTTCGCTTTTAGAAAAACTGATGATATATTTCAGATGGAAGCTTCTAGTAATATTTGGATCAAACTATTCATATTACTATTGTTTTTAATATTGATTTTATATTATGTATTACTTCAAACAAATAATTATAGATTAAAACAGACATTTACAAAATTTTATGAAACTCTTAATAAAAGTCGAATATTAGAAATGTTTATTCCAGTATTTACTACTATTATTTCAAATGGTACAAATACTACTACGATATATCCTATTATTAATAATACTATCACCTTGAAATATTCGATCATTACTACAACTATTACTGACCTTCCTACAACTATTGATCCAGCTGAGTTGCTTGTTGAAAGATCTCCTTCGGTTTCACGTCTTAATATTAAAGATAGAAACAGTAGTTTAGTTGTTTTTCTTTTTCAAACAAAACATCATATTCTTGCCAATCTTCAATTATATCTCATTCAAAAACTTGCTATTGATTTAATTACTATTAATTTATTTATTGATGGACAAGCATCAAATGAAATGCGTGAAGTTGCTGATAAACATAATGTTGAACTTTTTAGTTTTCCATTTGAAAAACATCAACCTAATGCAGGACCATCTGAGAGAAATACAAATATTGTCAATTGGGCTATATCTACCAGAGCTAAACGTTATCTTAGTAATGGTACTGCTATACTTTTACTTGATGGTGATGTTTTTCCTTTAAGTCCATTTGATTCAACAACATTATTAAATTCACATGATATAATTTGTCGAAAACATCCAGCTATATTTGCACGATTTTGTTGGGTTGGATTTATATGTTTAAGTCCACATATATTTAATACAATTGATGATTTTAGTGTATCACCAATTACACGTCAAGGTCGAGCTTATGATTCTGGTGGTAAAACAATTGAATATTTCTTAAAATATGAAAATATAACATTTTCATGGATGAAAGAAACAATTTTACTTAATATTGATAAAGATTTATTTTGGGGTGCAATTAATCAAGATATTCAATGGATTAAACAAAATTTTGGTCGATGTGATAAATGTGGACCTGAAATATTTTTTTCACCATTTAATAATAGTAATGCTATTTTCTATCATATGATTAGTGGAACTTCAGAATGGAGATTTGGACATCAAAGTTCACGACGACAATCAATATATGATACTATTATGCGATCACCTTACGGATCTAATCAAACATATGTAATATCGGATATGATTGTTTCTATTAAAAAAATTCAAAACATGGAATTAATACCTTTTCATGGAAATTTAACATGTGAAAAAATATGTAAAGGTTAATAATATCATATAATAGAAAAATTAATTTTAAGTCTTTGTTAAATTTTATTAGTTTTTATTATTTTTTTTTTGAATTACTATTGAAATATATTTATTAATAATAAAATTCTTTGTTCCATAGACTCAGGAATAGGTAATAAAAGGAGCAAAGTCAAATCTTACGGGGGGTATGTTTTCATAGTAATGTGAGAAGACTCGTCAATAATAACAGTGCTTCTATCATTTTGAAACTTTCTAGAATCTAAAAGTTCTTTTGTGGATTCGCACTAGTCTAGCAAAAAGAAATCTCAGTATTTGTCAAAGTTCGTCAAGAAAAAAAGGATAATAAAATGATATTTGTCCACTTTCTATAGCACGTATTGTATACATTATCAATAAGAGAGAAGAAGCTATGTATTGAAGATGTCTCTGACAATATAAAGAAGTTTTTTTTATTCATTATAACGATCTGATAAATTGATAGAATAGTAATTCGAAACGATAGAATTTCAGAGTGCACATATCAACTATAAAAACTGTTACATATTTGATTTATTTGAGATTTTTTTCTAAATTAAATTATATCAACTCGTTTGGAAACTATACCATAAATTCAAATACAATTAGAGTTGGTGAGTTCTACACTTTAACTTTTGATGAAGTCGCATTGACAAGTTGTTTGTTCCAATTTTAAATGTGATGATGTAAAATTAACTGTTTGTTATTAATATACAATAGTTAAAAGGCCTTAAATAAAGCATGATAACATTGCTATTCTTTCTAGAAAATTTTTTCTATCAACACATTAATAATAGCAAAATATCTAAGTATACAAATACCTCTTTGACATGAAAACAAGATTGATATAAAGACAAACAGATTATACATCTCAAGAGAAAAATCTACATAAATTTCTTATATAGCACTCAAAGATGTATTCACCTCCCGAATGATAACAAAGGAAGAAGATATAGTTTCTTTTTTTTTTTACTATGTACGTCATACCCTTATATTTTTTTTTTCCTGTCACTCCAACTATAGAATATTATGAGATTAACCTTGTAAGATCAACAGTTGCTACAGTACACTATCGCCAATTTATCCTATCTATATAATGTCCTTGAATATTGATCGAGAATCCCTTCATGGTTTACTATTTACACATGATTTGTATGTTAATCCTTATGATGATCATAAAAGCAGTAACATCAAAATACGGCTAGTGATAGTTTTTATCATAATGTTATTCTTTTTATTACTTATTTCATCAACTTTTATTCTTATTCAAACAGCACCTATTGAAAAATCTCAATCTACAACAATTTTTAGTACTGATAAGTAAAAATATTATCATTTTACAATAAATATTCTTAATATAATCAATCGAAATATAGATTACCTTCAAATGGTTCTTCATTAGATTATCGTATTCTACCATATATTGGTAATGGTCATATAGCTACTGTTGTATTTAGTGATTTTATCTATATGAATGGCCTTTATAATGGTGAAAATGGTTTGTATATTATTTTTATTTTCTTTTTATTTTCTTTTTATATTTTATTTTAAAGGTACAAGTCATCGAGCACGTATTCCCAGTACACTTAATTGGCAATTCAATATTAATCCATTATCATCATTATATACTCTGAATGTTTCTTCAGGTATGATATTTTAGATAATAATCATTATTTTTAATTTCTGTTACGTTCATAGGTATCTTTATCGAAACACTTGAAAATGATGAAGTTCAAATCGAACGATATCTTTTGGCTTCACAAGAATATACTGAATTATTAATTGCATATGTTGTACTTACTCGATTAGCACCTATAGGTTAAGTTTTTCTTTTTTGTGCATCAATGATTTTCATAAACTATGATATTATAGGAAAGAAAATTGTTGTACCTGTCGAAGTAAATGAACAAGTGACAAGTATTGATATTGATTTTATCGTTGAAACTCGTAATGATGAATATGTGTAAGTAATATTCATTATATTTTAATTATAATTTTATTTTATTTTTTTTTTATAAAAGTCTTTTATCTGGAAAAACACGTCAAGTAGAAAATAATCAATTTCAACAAGATCCATTATCTGTATTTATTTATTATACACCATTACCTGTTGAAGGATTAGAACTTGATGAAGAAGAAACAACTCGTACATATCTTTTTGTTACTTCAATTGATGAAAAACAATCAAGAGCTAAACAAAGTTTTGATTATGGTAAATAAATTATAGACGTGTTTGAGTAAATAAAATATTAGTGATTTTCTTTTTTTTTTTTTAATAGCAACAAATGAACGACAACCAAATGAAATATTATTATCACATATATCAAGATGGAATAATGTTTGGTCAAATGGATATGTTGAAGTGAATGGCAATGATGAATTACAAAAACAAATCAATTCTGCTTTTTATTATATTCTAAGTTCTTTACCACCATTATCTACTCAAAGTGAACATAAACAATTCTATGGTCTCAGTCCTGGTAGTCTTTCAAGAGGTGGTCTTTTAGGTGAAGATTATGGTGGTCATTCATTTTGGGATACAGAAACATGGATGTTTCCATCAGTTATTCTTTTTTATCCTACGTAAGTGAATAGAATGAGAAGATGGGTTAATTACACGAATTCTCTTTATAAATTGTTGAAAACATGTGATAGAAATACCATGTCGATATCCATGACGATAATGTCGGATGTTACAATAAGCAATATTTATCTTGATTGATGGACTTTTTTCTCTTAGATTGGCAAAAGAAATATTATCATATCGAATCGCTCTACGTGAATCTGCAGCTGACAATGCTCGTCTATTTGGTTATGAAGGATGGAGGTATTTGACACATTTCATATGTTTACTTATTGTGCTATTAAGTAGCTTTTATTGTTTAGATTTCCTTGGGAAAGTGCTAGAACTGGTGTAGATGTTACACCAGATTGTTGTCCTGAAGTTCGTCTCTATCAAATGCATATTACAGGAGATATTGCATTTGCAGCTAGACAATATATTGCAGTAACAGGTGATCGAGATTGGCTTTTGAATGAACTTGGTGGAGAACTTATTTATGAGACAGCTCGATTTTGGGGTTCGAGAGCTGTATACAATAATGAGAAAAAACAATATGAAATATTAAGTAAATATTTGTGTTTCTGAAATGAAAATATTTCATACTTTCAATAATCCCTAATATTGTCATATAAAAATTCATACATATGTATTCTTTTATTTTAGCTGTCTTACCACCAGATGAAGATGCTCAACCATATAAAAATAATTCTGTTTTTACTAATGCAGTTGCTTCACTTTCTATTCGATTGGCTAATAGTGTTAGTTGCATTACTAATAAAATGCTACCTCAATCTTGGCTTGATATTGCATCGAATTTACATTTTCCATTCGATAATTCAACTCAAAATTATCTTGAATATGAAGGTTTTGACTTGAGTGAGTGTATGAATGTAAAGAAAATTTTTATTCGAAAAAATTAGTTTGATCTATTTATTAAGAAAATACAACTATTAAACAAGCTGATGTTGTTCTTCTTGGATTTCCACTTATGTGGCCAATGAGTGATGAAATAAGACGAAATGATTTATTAGCTTATGAACCTTTAACTCGTGCTGATGGTCCAGCTATGACTTGGTCAATGCATTCAATTGGCTTTATTGAATTAGGTGATTTCGATAAAGCTGAACAACTTTTTCGACGTTCTTATGAAACTTATGTTCGATCTCCATTCAATGTTAGTTAGTCAATTATTTCAATATTGATATTGATGTCGAATTACTCTCTATTATTTTTTATAGGTATGGACTGAAGCTCAATCAGGCGTTGGTGCAGTTAATTTTATAACAGGTGCTGGAGGTTTTTTACAAGCTGTTCTTTTTGGTTATGGTGGTATTCGTCTAACATTAGATCAACTTGAATTTAAACCTCGTGGTCATCTACCAAATCAAGTTACAAAATTTATTTTTCATGGTTTGAAATATCAAGGAACTACAATTGATTTGACAATTGACAATGATATGTATGAAATTTTTATACGTGCACAGAATATCAACAATTCCGTTCCTCTGTTATACAAGCAAGGAGAGAATAATGGTCCACTCAAATTAAATGATCGTCTCTCATTTCCAATTGACACTCATGTTATTATACGTCGATTGGTACCTCTTTGTCCTTAATTTTATATTTTTATTTTTGCTTTGGAAAATAATTTTTTTTTTCTATAATATATCAGCCAAAATTGAATCGTTATCATGATGATTTATTAAGGTGTTTCGGATATCGATGAATAATAAAAATCATCAAAATCTTTAAAATAATATTTGAAATTAAGGGAAATTATTAATATGTTCAAATTTATTCATTAACCAAATTAAATCATTATGCTGTTTACTTGGTTTGTTTTTTCAAAAAAACAAAAAACAAATATATAGAGATAATTCTTTTTTAAATTTCTTGTGGTGTAAGGGCAACCCATAAAATATCTTAGAAATTTACTTTTAGTGTCTCAATAGCTTCAAGAAATTTATTGAAAATTGAATTATTTTAAAAAATGTGACTTCAATTTCTTCAACAGAAACTATGGTAACTTCTACACCTTTTTACTGATATAGTTTTTCTATGAGAAAATTTTCTAATATTAGATTATTTGAGAGGAAAATTGATGTTTTCGGAAATCTGAATACTGTTGTTTCAGAGTATACAAAACACTATTCCATGTAATACAACTAATAAAAATTTGGTTTCATCGAAGTGTTTTGTGGAAGTGACTGGTCTATGAATAGAGTATTCCACAAGTCCATTGGAAAAGTGTTAACGTAAATATCTCTTCTACAATTTAAAGGATTTTATTAATTTTTTTTTTATAGAATGTTAGTATGTTTTTATAGTTTTCATATAATTTAGTTTATAACAAATGTTCAAACTGACTACCGTTAACTGAAATACATCAATCCAACCATTTCAAAATATTGAACAAAAAAATATTATACACTGTCTTTTTTTGAAGTCGATTGAATATATCTATTGATTTTGTTTTTCAATTCAGTCTTATCTTGGATAAGAGTTTTGTAAACGTTGTTTTCATTGTGTGCCCATAGAACAAAACTGAGAAGCGTTAAATCTGGTGAATGTGAAACTTATCTAATTGGACCACTTCTCTCTATGATCTATTATGAGAACTCTTTCCCAGAAATGATCGTAGGATGCCTGCAAAATAGGAAAGAGTCAAGGGATGTCATAGTATCCATAAATTGGATATCGTAATTCAAAACATAGCTATTAGTACATTCATGTAATGAATTCTTGGTACACATATGCCACCAAACTAACGATTTTGACTGAAATTAGTGTAACGGGATGAATATTCAACTCCGTACTGATATATGTTGAGAGTTCAGAAAATCGGGATAACAGTGTCAGACTTATGTCTCACACCCATGGATTCATACTTCACACTGACACCAAATTCACTTAAAATGCTCAACTCTGCTGACAAATGGATGCCGATTCAGGTATCTGCTTTGTTAGACATCGTAACTGGTAACTCATCGTTCCCCAGTATATGGTTATCATGACATCACTGGAAGAGCCCCCATCTTATTGAAATATTATTTAGCGCGCCTTGTGTAGTAATTTTACTTCTAGAATAAAGAAGGATTGCCGTTGTCAACTGATATGTTTTGAATAATCCATAACGGTTTCAATAGTTATGTGTGCATTACTTTCACACCATAATAAGTGATGTTTTGTTTATTGACCAATCCATTTAATTGGAATACAGCTTCGTCAGAAAAAAAAACAGGCTTTCTTTAATGCTACTATCTTCTAACATTGATATCATCATTTCGCACATTTCAACTTTATCTTGTAAATATTCTGCATAGATTTCTTGAATAAATTGCACGTTGTACTGTTTGAATGGAAGGTATTCAGTCATAATTTTGTATGCTCTTGTTCGTGAGCTGAAACAGGCTGTTGTGACAACTTGAACACTTGATTGTAGTTCATTTTCATCAACATCATGAACTTTGCCGACTTTTTCTTCTGCAATCTTTGACGGTCTTCCAGTATATTTTTGATCTTTCACTATATAGTTTTATGAAAATGTTCAAATGTAACTTCAATGCGATCGTCATTTGGTGTATTTTGGTCAAACTCGAACTGCCATATATGTAACTTATCTCTTGAGCACAGTAATCAATCAGTTTTCTAGTTAATCTTATTATGAAATTGCTTGTCGAACATTTTTTGTATGTCTTCTACGTAAAGTACGTAACAGATTAATAAAATATAATTAAAAACTAGTAAGGTTGTGAACCTATCAATATACAGTAGTGAAATTGTTTGGGTAGAAAAGGATAAAGCCATCGTTAACCAGTAAACACTGCTGGCAAATCCTTCAGCTATGCGATCGATATACAACTATTTAATCACCGGTTTCTTGTATGGTTCGAATCGTTTAATGCATGAATAATGCTGTTTCTTCGTTTTGGACACACTCTCAAAGTGGATTATCGGAAAATTGCAACTTCCAAGTTATTTTTGGGCTTATTTGAAGAACTTTTCGTGTAATGTCCTCAACCGATATTTTAGATTATTTGGTAGACGGAAAAAAGGGGTGTCTGCTCTTCTTCTACTCGTAGTAGCCATACGCATTGATTTCTTTCCTGATAAATCTTTTACGCAAAATATGAAGTTTACCAGTCCAATCTTTGAAATTATTCGACATGTTCCTTTTTGATGTTTTGCCTTCTTTTTTTTTTGTTTATCTGATCCTCAAAAGATGTTTTTCCGCACATTCCGAAAAAGTGTAAAATGTTAATAGAAATTTTTTGGCATTCTAAATTGATTTAAATAATCAAAATATTATTCATCTAATGAAGTGATATTTCCAAGAGATTACATATTAAAGAATCAGGAATTATATTTCTTCAAAGAATGACTGTAATTAAGAAATAATGATATTTCTGTGGATGATCAGTTTTATTGAACAAAAACTTAGGCAAAAATAGAATACAATAATTGTGGATATGAAACATTTATTTGTGTTTGTAGACAAGTTGTATTCTAAAATGAATTTATTCTTTGAAACTTGGAAAACAATGCAAAAAAGAGTATACAAAAACTCTTAAGAAAATACTAAGGAGATGTAGTTGTAGATGAAAGGAACACTTACATTCCAGTAGTTTCTCACTCTTTTAATTGCAAATCAATCATATTAAAGTGCTCCTTCAGATTATGAACAAACTTTAATTGTATCTCTGTTCAATTTAATAATTCTCTTGAATTTTTCGTAGCACAATCCATGGACAATCCAATGATAAAATTCAGAGAAATATCAAAACTGATTATTAAAGAGAACCTCAATATTTCTACTTTAAGTTTCAAAATAAAGTTCAAATGCCACTCTTTATAATGAATTACAGGATATGGGAAAAATTCATTTGTTATTTTACTTATTTGGTTTGAGCAAACATTCAAACAATAACCGAAGACAATATTTGTCTTTGATTTTCACAATAAAAAATAGATTATAATTATCCATAGCCATTTGTTTTTGAATTAATCCAGTCTTATAACTTCTATATTTCATTTGGGTATTGATGAGATGTAAGATTTTTAACTTAATATCATCCTTCATCGCTTTTTATTAATAAAAAAAAAAGTAGTTATTATTGACACAACAAAAAAAAAATCAATGGTTAAGAATTTGAAAAAATACATAAGACTGTTTTAGATAAGTGACTTGTTAGCAGTTCTAAAAGACTCAAGTGTCATGCAAGTCGAAACAAAACAACATCGTCGTCGTTCAATTATACGTGAATTTTGTTTGAATACATTCACTCCTACTTTACCTGATATTGCTCGAAGTGAAAGTATACATAATCGACTCTTTTGGTTGATTTCATGCATTTGTTTTATTTTGATTATGATCTATTTTATTGTGCAAGCAATTTTAGCTTATTTCGAATATTTAACACAAATCAATATAAGCTATGTTAGTGAATGGCCACAATATTTTCTAGTTGAAAATAACACACAAACAGCGGTACTTGGCATAGTGGAAATTCTTTCAAATATCGGAGGTCAAATTAGTTTATGGATCGGTATTAGTTTTATTTTAATAATGAAAGTGATCAAAATGTTTTATCGACTAATTCATTATCAATGCTTTTTAATTGTACGTACATTAAAAAAGTGAAAAAAAAAAATAATGATAAAATAAACATTGATTTTCATTTTGCATCAGAAATAAATATAATGAGAAAAGAAAATTTATTTTCAACTCTAAAACAAAACTATCAAGAACAGATCATAGATCATACATTGACAATTATTGAGTCGATCGAACGTATAAGTTTTCTTGACTGTTTCCTAATATTACAAGTCAAGAAGAGTAGAATAGAAGACAATATAAATAATATGAGTATATAAAGTTCTATGTTATCAGAATAATTGAATAGTTGAAGTAAATTTTCAATAATTGGATTCAATTTTCAAGTTTGACATGTATGCAACGAGAAGAAGTAAAGCCGCAGCAATATCAAATGATGAAATAATTTCAAACTAAGATCATTTTTATTTAAAAGAATAAAAATATGGAAGACATTGATTGACAAACGAAAGAAACAATCAAAAATATAAATGACTAGAGAAATGTTCGATTGAAATATTTATATGCTGAATGACTATTTATTACGAGATGTTGCCAAATATGTAAAAGACGATTGATTGATAATGGCATATGACCAAATGCAAGTGAAGAAAGACCAAATGGTGAAAGAAAACGTTGTTCAACTAAATCAATATTAACAACAAATAAAGAATTAATATATAAATATTTAACATAAATAGATGATCGAATTGCCTTTGGCAAAAGACCAGTAATATAATAATCATCAATCCAAAAGAAAGGTATATATTGTGTTGCTTTAAAAAGTGGTCGAATTAAATCTTGTGTTATAAAATATGCTGAACCCGAACAATAAGGTTCAAAATGTTCATATGGATATTCATCAGATGAAACAAACCATTTTGATGATGGATCTCGTGTAACACGCATTCGTGTCCATACAAGACATGCTATCGTTGAATGCCATGCTTCAGTTGGATAAATATATGTTAAAGTATAAAGATGATTTAATATAGAAAACATATTTATTAACATATCATCATCAGTTTTTAATATATATGATACTTGATTACAATGACGTGATATCCAATTAAGTGCCATTATACCTTTATATGTTAAATTTCGATAAGTATCAATAAATGTTTGTTGTACAATATCACGATAAGTATCAAATTCAAATTGTGTTTGTTTCATTAATTCTATATTATGACTTGAACCAAGCATAAATAAAACACGTATATGTTTTCCAAATATTGAACGTGATGCCCATGTTAAACGTATTGATTCTCGACGATGACGATTTTCTATAGCTGAATGAACATAAACAATTAATAGTAATGGTTCATCTGTGAAACATATATCATCTCCAGGTTCTAATATATAATCAAAATGTTTTGCTACTGGATTGGCTCTATATATTTGAGGACTTGTTTGATTTACTTGATAACTTGTTAATAAAATCCATACAATGAAAAAAATAACTAATAACGAGCCGTAAACTGCTCGATAACGAATACCCATAAGTCATCTATAAAAGAAAATAGCTTAATATATATATCTGATAAACATAAGAAAAAATAAGTAAGAAAGAAAAAAAAACAAACTAGATATTTTATGGAAAACGATCTAAAAAGAGTGTTGAAGTATATAGATCTATGCGTTGTTTTAATCCGGACTTATATCAGTTGATAGAGCTTGATATTTTAAGTCTACTGGATCACACTCTGAGTCATAAGCTAAAACAAATCTTCTAAAAACAGGACGTTAGATGAAGTTGTAGTAAATGTCTGTATAGCAGAGCGATATTTGACTTCATTTTCCATATATTTATTTTTCGGAGTTTCAAGCTCTATCGACAAGCATATATCCTGAATAAAATGTGCTCGGAATGGATGAGAACGTATTTTATTAACTCACTACAAACGGTAACAGACATTGCTAATATATCATCAAAGACTTTATATTAATAATATCCTATTATACTCTATTCACTATTTCCTTATTGAGTTTATATACGATGAAGAAATGTGTCTTAAAATAGATAGAACAAAATCTATTCTAGTGTAATTAACAAGAGAAGCTGCTACATCATGTTTTACATTTTAATTCCACATGATTTGTGCTAATAACTTTTCTTATTGTAAAAAACAAATTCTTTTAGTCGGAAATGTATTTTGAAAAGTAATTCCTTTTGACAAAGTTACAAAAATCTTACATAGAATAGAAGAACGAAGACAACGAACAAATCGTTAAATATCACGCACCATTTTTTCTGATGATATAGTATTATACTCAATAGATTCTTCAATTATATCTTTTGATCATGAAGTTATATTGGATCTATTGAATTCATGAGAAATCTGTATCATTGATTTTAACATTAATTATTTTACAATTTTTTGTTAATTCAATAGATTTCATTGTAAATATATTTATCGACATTTTAATGATGTTCGATTTTGAAATAGAAAATAGATCAGTCATTTTTTTTTTGTTGTTGTTCCGAATCAATATATATATGATGTTCTTTTATTTGGGAAACTTTTTCTTCTCATCAGAAGAAAAAAAACCAACCAGTTGTTGAACATGAGAAAATGATTATGTTGGCTTGATTGGACAAACATAATTGACAAATCAAATATGAATGATAAGCGATGTCGCTCAGAAAAAAATAATTGATTTATCAATATTAAATTATTTTTAACATAAAACAAATAGTACATTTTTTTTTTGCATATATTTAAAAAAAAAATTCTCTTTTCTAGAGATTCAATCAACGATAGATAATCGAATCAAAAATACTAATTGAATTTACTCTTTCAATTGATGATGTATACACACACAGAAATAGTAATATTTGTATTTGTTTTCAACAAACCAAACTGCACATTTTAGAATTGTAAACATTTATATACTGGTTTACTATCTAGATCAATAATGATCTTATGTTTATAATAGTAACATATTTGTTTGAATTTTCATCACATTTTATAAGATATATTAGATAAAATGTCTTCGATTTATTTAATAAGATATTCTTTATGACAACAATCTTTGATACATCATTTGCTAATCTTTTCCATAGAGTATTCAATGAATTATGATGTCCTACAATAATAGATATTTTTGTAAAATCTGCTTTATTTTTATTAACACGTAAACATCTTATATATTCATTTCATGTTGAAGAAAAAATCAAAAATGATTCCAATGAATATTTTGATGATGAATAAGAACACATACTTGATATTAGTTCAATAATCAGTAATCGAACAGATATTGAATAAACTTTGAATCTGTTTTATTAATAAATAATTGTAAAAAATTTTCTGTTATCATTACAAATACTTATATTATTAATGAACGTATGAAGAATTTTTACATTAGTATGAATCACTGCATGTGATCAAAGAAGTTTTATTAATCTATCTTCATTATACAGATTGAAAATACTAACAAGAACATAAAAACTTTGTTTATCTCATTAAATTGCTGATCATACATTTTAAACAAAAGAAAGTCAATGCTAAATTTTCTTTATATTGATAATGATTTTATGAAAATTGCGTAGATGTATAAATAGGTAATAATACATCTATATATTTATTTATGTTAATATTATTAGGATAAAAAATACAAGAAAAATATTATAATTGATACTGTTCTAGCTTTTATTCCTGAAATTTATAATATTGATTAAATTTGAAAGTACTAAACCGAGGGGACACTATTTATCTATTGATGAAATAAAAACAAAAAGTTCACTTTCGATCACTGATAATATTCTAGAAAAATTCATCTGACATTTATGTGCGTAGAAGATTAAATTCATTTAGACATTTATATCTTGTGAGTGTTGAAATGTCAAAAAAATATGTTCTAATGATGTTAATTCAACAGTATAATTTGATAATATTATATTTTGTTCAACAAGTTGTTCTAATAATGTAAATAAATATGCTAAACTATCTTTTGGATATATATATTCATTGCTATTTTCAATACGTTCAAGTAATGGTATTTGAAATGATGATTGAAGTAATATTAAACGTATACGATAATTCATACCATATTTATTTTTAAGATGTTCAGGTGAACCTAAACATTTTGCATTACCACGAACAAGTATTGTTAAACGATCACATAATTGTTCACATTCAAGCATTGAATGTGAAGCAAATATAATTGATGTATTAATAGGACGATTTTGTAATATAAGACGTATATGATTACGTAATAATGGATCAATTTTAGCTGTTGGTTCATCAAGTAAAAGAAGTGTTGGTGATCCAATTAAACATAATGCTAAATGAAGACGACGACGTGTTCCACCACTTAAATGTGATACTAAATGATTATGATATTTTTCTAATTGAAATTGTGATAAAATTAAATTATTTAATAATAATGGATTAAGACCATGAATACGACATATATAATTAATAGATTGTAGAACAGTTAAAGCTGAAAAATTAATATCATTTTGTGGACAATAACCAATTGATTCATTTTTATTTTTATAAATATAACCACTACTTGGTCGTAATTCTCCAACTAACATTCGAAATGTAGTAGTTTTACCTAAGATAAATATATTTTGATATTGATAGATGAATATTTTTTAAAGAATTCTTTTTTTTTTTTATTAGTTGATTCTAATAGATGATTATAAAGATTGATATATTACTTTTAAAGGTACCCCCTCCCCCCCTCTTTTTTGTCCCAAAACTCGATTTTGAGCTGAGCCCGAGGTCCCATGTGCAGCTAGAGACATTATTCGACTCGAAATGTCTTACTTTTACCTATTTATTAGATCGAGAAAATTAATTTTTTTCCTAGTAATCGTATGTAAATTTTTTTCTTTTATTTAGCGTTCTATAAAACAGCAATTTTCTAGATCTTGACTGCTTACGACCCCTTTTTTAGTTTGTCCGATCGAGCTGAAAATTTAACGACTAATAATTTGAAGTATTCTCCAGAGGTCAAATCAAGCGTTTTCATTTTTGATGTTCCTGCTCGAAGTTACCGAGTTGTGAAAGTCAAGATCTGAAGCACAAACTCAAATCTGGGCGTATTTCTCTTATAAAAAGAAAAGAAAGTGAGATTTTTGGAAATCCTTAAATTAACCTCTCGGAAATAGTGTTAGGCATCTATAAACAAAATTTCAGCCCAATCGGACAAACTTTAAGGGGAGTTGTAATGTGTCAGGATTCGAACCTCTGGAAAACCAGAGTTTTCCACAAAAAGTTATTTAAAATTTTTTTTTCCTCGGACACGTATCTCTTTATTTTTAGTGTTCTATCTGTGCTAATTGATCGGTTGTACCATCTTCGAGAACCAGCAAGTGTCAAAAATAGGTGGGCTCTTAAACAATCAAAGGATATATTCTTTTTTTTTGTGAATAATAAGGTAGAAATCTTATTTGTGTAAAAGTGGATTAATATTTTAAAACTTAACATATTTATTTGATGTTGCTGGTCGATATTTTTCTATTTAACAAAGAAACTTCTCTAAATATCAAATCGATTTTCAATCGAGATGATGTTTATTTGATGACTGTTAGTGAGTAATAGAAAAGTTTGAAATGGTTTGATTTTCCGAATCTTGGTTCTTGAAATATCACAATTTTACTCGATTTTTTTTCCTCTCAGATCACGTGAACAATCAACTTTCGACTTCAAAATTTGTATGAAAAATTTTCCATGAAACCAGTTGATTATACCATTGTGATTTTTCTAGAATTTCCCTTCTCATGATGTAAATATATGAATAAAGTTTGCTTTTACACATGAAAAAAAAAATTTTAATATTGAATATCTCAGGAAATTTGAAAGACTATTTTTCTATCGATGGAAAAATATTGTATCGCATAGTTTACTAGATGGGACACAGTGGAATTATCAATTTTAAATCAATCTAATCAAACTATATCTGATTTTAGCTGTTTTTGCCTTGAAATGAGAATATTTTTCTTCACTCAGACAAAAAAAAAAATCTAAATCATTTGATTGCATGTCTAATCTTATATTCGATGATTTCAAGAGATTTTCATTACTAGAAGAGTTCCAACAATATGACAATTGTTTTCACTTTAGTAATAAAAGATGACTAATGAATCGATCTATTTGTAGATTGCACTATTCTTCTTGATTAAGCAAAAACATATTTGATAAATGGATTTTCGATGTTTCAAAATAAATACTAGAATATTCATTTTGTATAGAAACAAAATTGATTTCTATATTAGAAATTATTATAACATTTTAAGAATATGAATAATAACTGAACATGATATAAAAACTATCAAAAAACAAAAAAACATTATCTATCAAATACTAAATTTTAATAAATGAACTATTACTATTCTATAATTTAAAACATACCACTTCCATTAAATCCTAAAAGACCAAAACATTGTCGATGAGATACAGCAAATGTTAATCGATTAACAGCTGGAATATATGAATTATTATAATAATATTTTGAAAGATTATCAACAACTAAAGCTTCACATTGTCTAT